TCTCTCACTCACACACACACTGTCTCTCTCTCTCTCTCACACACACACACTCTTTCACTCACAAACATACACACACTCTCCGTCTCTCTCACACACACACTCTCTCACATACACACACTCTCACTCACACACACACACACTCTTTCTCTCACTCTCACACACACTGTCTCTCTCTATCTCTCTCACACACACTCTCTCTCTCACACACACACTCTTTCACTCACACACATACACACTATCACTCACACACCGTCTCTCTCTCTCTCTCTCACACACACACATACACTTTTCAAGAGTTTCACAAAAATGTCCCAGCCACCAAAGCAACATTCAGGTCCAATTTTTCTTACCGTGGTCCATGCACGCCTGGCTGTTGGGGGTGCCCGCTTATTTTTCTCCTACTCCCCTCTTGGTTTTGGTTGGGTCACTACGGACTACGGACGGTATACTGGAATTGCAGCCAGCTGGAGGAAATGGATGACTCCCCCCCAGGGCCAGAGGGAGGGGATTGGCCCCACTCCCTGCAAGGATGACTTTTAAAATCCTGGAGGAGCCCTCCCCCCCCCTTCTCCCAAAATTGTGAGAAATGCACTAGTCAGAAACCAGGCAGGGTCACTGAGTGGAGCTGTAAACGGTTCTATTGTAAAATACGTTCTTGCAAGAAGGGGCTTGGCTAGCAGAAGTTTAGGCACACCCCAAAACAGATTTCAAGAGCGTTTTATCTCCTTGGCCTGAAGCACAAGTCCCTCCCATGTCATCCTGCTTCGCAAAGTTTCTGAAACGCCTACTTTCCCCACTTTTTTTGGAAATTCCCTCCCTTTACAGCCCTCCCTCCCTTATCTAATTTCTCCCCTCCACCCTCCTCCCCTTTAGCTGTTTTTTTCTTTTCTTTTTTAAATTAGCAATGCATGTGTTGTAATGACGAGGCAGTCGAGGTGTTTGATCATGATCAACTGAACCATGATGAACTTTATTGGAGTCTAGTCTTGCATTTATACACATTTTTAGTAATCCTCCAACATTGGTTAACTTTGCTTTCTGCTTAACTTTCGTTACTGTTCAGCATAGTAACTAACACAATTAATGATCTCTAGTCAAAGTCCAACATATGTTTACTTCCTCTCTCTAATCCTCCTTTAGATGAGTAACTTTGTTTGCCTGAGTTGTATTTGCTTTGGAACCTTCATTACATTCATACTGTGAGGTTGGGGGCTATGAAAAGACCACCACAAAGTTCGTTGATCAACTGGGCATTTCCTTATCTGGTAGAATTACTGAGTTTGAGACACTTTGTTACATGACTCCTCAGACCCAGTCAACATGTCTTTTGTCCTGCTCACAATACATAATAACACTCCTGCAATTACAACTCTACATGCATGCAATTTTGCTTAACTCACAGGTCCTGCATCTTTGGAACTTGTAGAGGATTTTTTAAAGTTGTTATTATCATCAGAAGAAAGACATAAAGAATTAATTAAGCTTGAGCCAATGAAACAAGCAAACATGGGATACAATATAATGGGTTGTAATCTTTGAGAATGTACCTTTGGAAAGACACTGATATAAAATATATCCTTTGTTTAAACTATTTAGAGTTAGTATAGGCACACGACAGCGGTGTTTAAATGTTCTTTTGCTGATAATTTCCTGCCAGCCTGTAAAGGGCTTCTTTCTCTTTTAATTTCCTGTTTAAGGGCCCTTTTTCTCTCTCTCCTTGAGACCAGAACTGGCAGGAGAAGCAATTAATCTGTTATCAAGTCAAGCCCGGCCTTGACTGGGTTAAGAATGCATCTAATTCAAACTCCCTTTGACATCATTCTCTCTTGAACGTTTCTTCTACTCAGTGGTGGGATTCAAATCATTTTAATCTCAACAAATCTCAACAAATAAATGCTCTGTCTTACATATTGGCAAAAAAAAATATCAGCTGAATAGTCAAGAGTCAGACCTTGTTGATGATCCAAGCTCTGTAAAGGACCTTGGAATACTCATCTCTAATGATCTAAGTGCTAGAGCCCACTGTAACTACACAGCCAAAAAGGCGTTAAGAGTTGTTAACCTAATCCTACGTAGCTTTTTCTCTGGTAATATCACACTACTAACTAGAGCATACAAAACATTTGCTAGACCAATACTCGAATACAGCTCATCAGTCTGGAACCCGCATTACGTATCTGATATTAGCACGGTTGAGAAAGTCCAGAAATATTTCACAAGAAGAGTTCTCCACTCCTCTACTCGTTGCAGAATACCTTATGCCACCAGACTCAAAATTCCAGACCTAGAAAACCTAGAACTAGGCCGCCTTCGGTCCGATCTAAGTATAGTATATAAAATCATACATTGCAATGACTTACCTGTCAAGGAATACTTCAGCTTCAACCATAACAACACAAGAGCACACAATAGATACAAACTCAAGGTTAATCGCACCAAACTTGATTGCAGGAAATACGACTTCAGCAACAGAGTGGTCAATGTCTGGAATACTCTACCTGACTCTGGGGTTTCTTCCCCAAACCCCAAAAACTTTAACTTTAGACTGTTTATTATTGACCTCACCCCTTTCCTAAGAGGTCTGTAGGGGGACGTGCATAAGCGCACCAACGTGCCTACCGTCCCGGTCCTATTGTTTCTTTTATTTTTCTTATATGTATCCATTTCATGTATTCATAACTATGTTTATACTTATACCTATTATCTTGTAAGCGATTGACAAATCCAAATAAAATAAATAAATAAAATAAAAATAAATAAAACAACCGGTTCTCTGCTCTAATGATCATGTTAAGTATTTTTAAAAACCATGCATCAAAAAGTAGTTTATTATTTCCATGCATTTAATACTTGAAGGAAATAAATACATTAACCCCAGAGGACATTCAGTTCAATAGTACATGGTGACTTGCTACAATCTTCTTGGAAAACAGGAACATTTGCCCAAGCCAAGGCCACAAGTAAATAAGATAGGAGGAGCTCAAGGAAGCTACAAGTAAACAAGATAAGATATCTGTTGTCTTGAAGAAATTGTCAAGTTGACCCTTTAGTTTGTAGTATGACTTGAGAGATAATAAGGGGAGTGCGGAGGGCTTCTTAGGCGTGGCGTGCATTGTGTAGAGAGTACAAAATGTATGGCTTGAATATTGGATTTGGCTCTCCTTGTACTCAATCCACTTTGGGAAGAGACGTGAAGGCCTGGCTTTGCAAACGCATGGTGAATAAACTTGCTTTGTTTGTACATCAGAGTTGTCTGTCGAATTAGTGAGTATAAAATAAGATTTGGGACGGGTTTTTTTTTAAATCTCACATACTGAAATAAGAACAAGAAAAGAGGTACGCAAAACTAGATTGCGTGCTTCCAAAGGATCAGATGATGGCATGTATGTACAGAGGAGGCCCTGGGGATCAGAGGAAGGGGCCAGATGTGGAGCTAGGACCCAGGTATGGATGGTGTTGGAAGAATTATCCTTCCGGGTTCAGTTCCAAGTAGGGAAAAAGACACTGGAAACATGGAGGCTGTCTGGAAAGATGGTTTAATGGTGGACAGGACCACATGCCCTGGGTGAAGAAGGAAAAGGATGATCACACGCTTCAAGGTGAAAGGAGAAGGGCGGGCCAAGATTTGAAAGACCCTTATAGGTGGGCTCTGTTTGGGCCTCACCTTAGTGTTTCCTGTTCCTGTGCAAGAAATTGAAGGATAATAAATAAATAAAATATATTTGCCTCTCTACTCTTTTTAGGGGAAATATTCTGCCTTTTCAATATTTCCCAGGACATTTAATTTTTCTAGGGGAGGGGTGGGTGCTAACGTCCTACAATGGAATGGACATGAGAGTGAGGAACATGACTTCTGATAAAACATGTTCTCTTGTCTTCATTTCTTTGCCTTAAGCAGCCTTCCGCCTTCCTGTCCCTCTCTACAGAAGGAAGGGGGGGTCATGGGAAGGAGTGGGGGGGGGGTGCTGCCTCAGACAAAGATTTAAAACTGCTTTTATTTTTCTCTGCGGAAGGAGGGGGGATCGCGGGGAGTGGGGGTGCTGCCTTGAGCTGCTCTGCAACAGGAAAGGGGTTGGAACCGCACATGCTTAGCGAGGCAGAAGTTAACCACCTTAAACCACTAGCCAGGATATTAGGGACAATAATAGCTTGCTTTATAAGAAAAGCCCCCAAAACCACATAGCTGGCCCATGAAACTAGGACACTTTGCAAGATACCTATATCTCCCTATAAAGCCATCACCCTATAAAGTATAAAATATCTCCCTATAAAGCCATCACCTGCACCAGAAACCACTTTTAAAGCTGCTGCTACACCAGTAACCGTGAGTAAACCTGAGCCCAAAAAAAACCAAGCCCAAAAACGCTAGATTCTGAAGCCGTGGAGCCCAAATATTCCTGCTAACAGATCCGGAGCCCTCCTCTCCTTCCCCAGAGAAGCGAAGCCCTCTCCTTCACTCGGAGCCTGCCTGCGGAGTGCAAACAACCTACCTTCATTTAAATCCCTCACACAGCTGATAGAAGTTATCTTCCACGCCAGACAATGCATTTCCTTTCATATCCCCCACACAGTTTTCCACCGCCACATCGGACAGCTGGCAGAAAAAAAAACAAGGAGGGAGGAAAAAGCCCCGAGGCTCTTAGGAGCCAAAAGTCACCCTGGACGGCAGAGGAATGCTTTTGTGACTGACCCGAAGAAAACCTCTCCATCCGAACTAAAAAGAGACTTAGCATGGCTAAATCAAAGCTGTGACAGAAGTAAAAAAAAGAAAGGAAAGACCTTGTAACAGCGTGCTTAATCTTGGTAAAAAAAATCACTCCAATTTCTGCAGTGGAATTTTCCTTGGAAAGTGGGACTCTAAGGAGGAAAATAGCTGCGATTAACGATCTGGAGTTACTGTCAGATTTAGTTAAAAGTAAAGGACAGATTGGATTGGTTAACCCAAATTTCTGGACTGTATTTTTACTACTAAACTTGAAGAGCATTAGGAAACTATTGCAAAACAATCTTATTCAGAGACATATTGATTGTAGTTAAAGTGTTTAATTCAGCAAGTTTTGCTCTATTTCAAAAACCCTTTGAACATCGTGTTACAGCCTTTTGTTTACAGAGTAATAGCAATCTGCTATTACAAAGAGCAATAAATTCCTCTCACTCAGTCAACTACAGCTGCTAGTAAAACAATTAACTCTTTCCTTGCAGACTCTTAATACTACGTCATTACTTTAATCAAACACTGATTAATTCATTACCTCAAAACTTACAACTTTTCTACCTCATCACCTATATCAACGATTAGATAATCAATTTCTATAAAATATTTTATTAATGGTTTAATTGGTTTATTGTTTTAATTGATTAGTGTGATTAGAGTATTTAGTGCAAATAGTGTGATTACTGACTAGTTTAAAAGATCAAGATTCATGTAATTTAATTGATTAGTAAAATCAATGATTTAGTGAATTTAAATGAACAGTGTGACTAATGATTAGTGTAATTAATTGATTAGTGATTAGAGTAATTAATTGATTCGGCTGATTGTTGCTCAGGAAAATTAGCTGACTAGAGAGATTACTGCAATTGATTGATTGGTGTGATATTGGCTATATAGATTACCCAAAATTGTTCCTTTAATTTAATTCAATCAACGTACTATCTTA